AAGGCTACCTGCTCCCATGACCAGGAGGGGGCATTACATCCATTTCCTGTTGGGAACAATGACCTTAGACTTAGAGGAACTAACTCTCATTTCAGCTGCTTCACACTCAGCTGCGAACTGTCCCAGTGCACGCTGATGGTCTTGGCCTAAAACCGCTAACAGAATTGTGTCATCCACATAATGCAGAGACGAGACTCTGAGGTTCCCAAACCAGACACCCTACTCTCCACAACTATGCCTCAAGATCCTGCCCATGAAAACCACAAACATGATCAGAGACAAAGGACAACCGTAGCGGAGTCCAACCCACACTCAGAACGAGCTTGTCTTTGTGCCAAGAATGTGGACACAGCTCCTGCTTTGGTTATACAGGGACTGGATAGCTTTTAAAAGCAACCCAGGCACGCCATACTCCTGCAGCAACCCCACAAAATGTCTTGAGGAACAGAGTCAGAAGTCTTCTCTACGTCCACAAAATACGTGTAGACCGGAGAAGCATGACTCCCTTATCAACTCTGCAAGGATAAAGATCTGATCCACTGTTCCATGACCAGGACAGAAGCCACACTGCTCCTCCTGAATTCAAGGTTTGACAATCAGTCGGAGCATCCCTTCCAACACCCTGAAGTAAATTTTCCCAAGGAGAGCAAGAAGTGTGATCGCACAATAGTCAGAACACACGTCCCGCTCCCCCTTTTTCAAAATGGGAAATACCACCCCGGTCTGCCACTCCATAGGTACTGTCCCAGTCCTCCATGTGACATTGAGGAGACGTGTCAACCATAACAGCCTCACAACATCCATAGCCTTCAGCATCTTGGGGCGGATCTCAGCCTCCCCAATACCCTACCACAGAGGAGCTTTTTGACTACCTCTGTGACCTCTGCCATGGTAATGGACTCGTCTTCCCCTGAGTCCTCAGACTCTGCCTCCTCAAAGGTGGACAAGGTGGGTGGATTAAGGATATTACTGACGTGCTTCTTCCACCCCTCAACAATATCCTCAGTTTGAGTCAGCAGTTCCCCACCCAAACCAAGTAGAGCTTAGGATAGTTAGCTTTCCTTTCCTGAGTTGCTGAACCATTTACAAGAGCTTCCTCGAGGCCGACCAAAAGTCCTTCAAGGCCTCCCCAAATTCCTCCCATGCCCCAGTTTTTGCTTCTACAGCCACTGAAGCCGCATTCCTTTTGACCACCCTGTCTGTAATTCAGCTGCTTCAGGTGTCCTTCAGAACCAGTCATGAAGACCTTCTTCTTCAGCTTGATGAACTCTATCACTGTTGGTGTCCACCAGCATTGGACAACAACAGTGCCCACTACCAGTCCTTTGGTTGCCTCCCATGGCCCATTCAGAACCCGTCTCTGACCTTCCCCAAGGCATGTAAAAAAACTCTCAGAAAGGTGTAAGTTGAGGCCACACAGACCGAGGGCTCCACCAGACATTCCCAATTCAGACTTAATATGCGTTTGGGTTTACCAGGTCTGTCCGACAGCCTCCCCTGCCACCAGATCCAGCTCACCACAAGGTAGTGATCAGTTGACAGCTCTGCCCCTCCTTTATTCAAGTGTCCAAAACATAGGGCTACCAGTCCGACAGCATGATTACAGAATTGATCATGGACCTTGGACCTAAGGTCACCTGGTAAGAAGTACACTTATGAACCGCCCTATGCTCAAACATGATGTTCATTATGGACAACACATGCTTAGCACTGAAGTCCAATAAGCAAACACCATTCGGGTTCAGATCAGGGAGGCTGTTCTTCCCAATCACCCCTTCCAGCTAACTTTGTCATTGTCCACATGGGCATTGAAGTTACCCAGTAGAACAAAGGAATCCCCAGATGACACTCTTTCCAATACACCATCCAGAGACACCAGAAAGGTCAGGAAATCTGAACTGATGCAGTGAAGCAATCATCTTGTTCACGGGGGAAAGCTCCATCACCAAGGCATTCAGCCAAGGACTTGTGAGTATCCTCACACACGCCCGATGCTTCTCTCCCTGGGTAACTCCAGAGAAGGAGAGTCCAGCCTCTCTCCAGGAATTGAGTTCCAGAGCCCAAGCTGTGCATAGAGCTGAGCACAACTACATCTAGTTGATACCACTCAAACTCACACACAAGCTCCAGCTCTTTACCTGCCAGTGAGGCGATGTTCTACGTCCCTAGAGCTAGTCTATGCCACCAGGATTTGGCATAGCCAAGAACCCTCCCTTGCCTGCTGCCTGACATTGACAGCACCCTACCCTGACAGAACTCCCCACAGGTGGTGGGTCCACATGGAGGTTGCTTCCTGTTATGTTTTTGAACTAGGCCAATCCTGAGGAGTCAAGACTCAACCAACGGGCGCTTGCCGGTGAGGCAATGCCCCCCCCC